AAACTGCTAGGGCTGGCGGGCGGCACCGCGTCTGTCCCACAACCACAAGGGTAATATAATACTGGTATATTATTAAAGACTTGTTGAAATTTAATATTCGAGTCGCATTAACTGCAACATAGATAGAGATGGGTAAGGACGGGAGAGGGCCCTGCCGCTTCTGGCACGAGCGAGGCGCCCATTGGCAATTCACCGCAGCGGCGGAGGGCTAATGGGCGCCGTCCGCATCCCCAATTGTTTCGCCCTTTTAACTTTGTTAAAACATGCTTTGCGCTCTAGTAAATCTTCTCTGCTCCGCTTCTGCTTTTGTTTTACCCCGCGTGCGCCTTTGGAGGCGGATGTGCCAGCCGAGAAAACATCCCTCGACGTGCTGCCGCTTCGTTACGGCGTAGATGTTCAATTTAATTATTTATAGCGAGTGTTCCATTGAATCTCTTGCCATGAGCTGTGAGGCAGACATGTCGAATGGCGGACTTCGCTTCGCTACATATTGACGCCCCCCTTCTTCAGTAGGGGCTGGAGGACTTCACAGTGGTCACGTGCATAAGACTGGGAACTCGAACACGGGGGGTGGTAAGGGGGTCTCTTGACACACTACTTTTATTGTCACCAGGAATTCGGTTTATGGCATGCACTTGATAAGTAAACTCAAGCTGTTGACTTAGTTTCTTTGGCATGGCCAATCGTAAGCAGATTGAAACGTTCCCATAGCGACGCCCAACTCTTGATAGCAGGAATAATAAGGACTCTCCAGATTTGGAACACAGGAGGACCTAGAGACCGCAGCTGATTTACGTCAGTGCACGCTAAATAATGTATTTATATACAGCATACGTACTCGTGTTTGCCAACTGTCTGATCCAGTAGCGTGATTTTTAGTAGACGTGGATTGGTCAGTACTGACAAATAAAAGCACGGCGGCTGATAGATTTTTTGTTTTTGGTTTTTTTCGGTTTTCTGCCAGGTTTTCTTAGATGTGTACTGTGGGTTGTTGCCAAGTGGAGATTTTATTGAAACTGCATTTAATAGAGAATTACTGTCCTCTCGTAAGAAGGGGAGAGAGGATGAGTATTACAAACCAGGCAGGAAGGCGATGAGTGAAAACTCCAAATCTCTTTGAAAGGATTCTCAAATTCTCCTTAGTTCGCTCTAAGTACAGTTCTGAGAATGAATTGAAATCGACCTACTAATTAATCTTCTGGTGAGGTGATATTGTTCACTGTTTTTAATGTACTTTTTTGTTCATTACTTATTTCACAAGGATTAGGCATTAAAATTAGAATTGTGAAAGACTTGTCAAGAACGAACAGTAGGTAAATGTACATGTTAAATGTGGAATACATAAGCATACTTGTACAATCTCGAGTAGATTCCATAATCTTCGTCGTACCATTTGTTTATCTGTGAGACTCTGATACGCATGCTCCCTGCTCACTGGAGGAGACTGTCACGTTCTCGCTGATTAGTTTCTTCACGCGCGGTCTCAGTGCGTGAATGGGTGCAACTAGCGGCGCCGCCCACTGGAATGCGCTCGTAGGGTTCAGAAAATTCAGGATTCGATGCAGCGGGAGCTGCGACATCTTTGCTTCCTCTTGTCTCTTTCTTTCCTATCATCATCATGCAATCATCATCATCATCATATATAATTCTTATATTATTATTATTAATTTACTTATTAGCTCGTATTTTTATATATATTTACTCATTAATTACAATTTTGAAAAGTATTATGAATATAAAATTTTCCAGTATTAAATTTCTGGGTCACAGCTGTTGCACTAATGCTAAATTCACTCTTCAGCAGACGTTCAGATAATCCTATCAATGACCAAGAAGTTGTGAAATTCATATCAACATATCAATTTATCATTGGGATGCTGCATGCTTCCGCAAACTCCATCTCTCCTATTGGTGCCTGATGGTCATTTCTGATTTTAATGATTCATCATCATAATTATTTAGATTGTGCTATTTGGTCGTTGTACTACGAATATATGGATTCACTCCAATGGAAGGATTAAGTAAAAAAATAAAAAAGACGAAAGATTTTTTTTTGGGTGAGAAACAGCAGATTAGTTTTTATTATTTGTTGACAAGAGATTGCAGTGCTTGAAGTATATTGTTTGATGCGTCCCATACAGTACTTCCTTTTTAAACAGGGTTTTGGAATTGTGTGGTCTTATTTCTTGGGAAGGAAGACTGTTCAAGCCTTTATGATGGCCGGAAGACTCTTCGAAGCTATGTGTGTACAAATGACTGAATGAATGCAAAAATAGTGGTGTTTGTTGATGTGGAATACAAATAAGGCCGACACTCAGCTACTATTATCTTTATAATGCTGAAAGTTTTGTGGTGGGTGTCGTGAGATTTAGCGGGGCAATGACAGCAATTTTATTTATTTATTATATTTATGTTTTTTTTTTACTTTCTCTATGGAATGAATTGCATCTTTTAAGAGCAATAATATTTGCATTGGGTTTTGAAACTCGGGATTATGCAAGAATATGTACATTATATAACGTTTCAGAAGTCTTTTCACATGAATGCTTTAAGAATCTTCACTATTATATTCTTTCAAACTCAGGAGTGTTACGTTCAAGGATCATGGTGTAAGTGTGGGACTGAACGTAGGTGAATGCCTGCTCACATTGAGACCGAAGTATGCAATGGATGCAAAAAGGAGCGAATTCATCATTTTGCACAGAGCTGAACGGCGATGTCAGCGCTGTGAGAAGGCACCACTTTCTCTACTTTGCTTATATTGCAAATGTCTTGAGCTTGGAGCTGCGGTGTGCAAGCTTCGACAAAGAAAGGAATTCAGCTCCTGCAGACGCACTCGAGATGCATCGTCGCCTCGTCATGCCATTCAGATTGCTGACGGAGGCGACGTCCCGAGCACAGTCCTGGCGGTGAACATTACGCTGCAGTCGTCATTGGACACATATATGCCCATTGATATCGATGCGATCTGTATACATTTATCATTCTCTACTTTATCCCTTCAACTCGCTACGAGTGAGTAATTCAACGAGTTTTGTTAGATGTATGTCAACAGGGCAGTAGAAAGAACCAAAAACAAACCTGTCATTAGAAAAGTGCTTACTTCATATATTTTTTTGGGCGCGAATCTTCGATATTTGATTGAGGGCGTAGGACATTCAGAGCAGCAGCGTCGTGCCTGGAAGTATTAAGGAGTGGGGAATACCGATAGAGGAGGAGTGGAGACCGGCTACACAGATGAGTCAGATTCAGCTATCTGGTAGGTAATTCTAACGACTTCGATGTCTTGTTTTGTTTGCGTTCCCGTAGTGTCTCGCCGATCAACAGTAGGCGGCGAATGCTGTCTGCACCTTATCTAACCAAACGGCACGCGGTGAGCGCGCGATCTTACCACTCCTTCCCACTCCTTAACACACCGCGCACTTCACACATGCATGCACTGTATCAAACACAGACTGTGTGCAAGAAGCAGACGGAAGGTTCGATTGTATGTAATTGTTTACCTCGCTGCGGGGAATATTGGAATGGGGGATCCCCGTAAGTCGAACGCGTAGTTATACAATCAGCAGTCACGTTCAGCGAGGGGGAGGTGCAATGTCCCCACGCGAGATATAATGCACTACAATTCGCTCATCCATCAAGTAATTGCGCGTCTGACAAACAATAAAACCCATTCATCATATTTAGGACATGATTACGACTAGAAATACGACAGCAAACTCAATTCCAGAATAAGAATCTGTACATTTGAAATCGTTGAGCATCTTAATTGACTAATTCTTTTTCTCTCTCTGAATTAAGTTAACTAGCTAAGACTCATGGGTGTGTGTAAACACATCTCTAGGGAACTCAGGAGATGATATATAGGTAAAATTCCATAAGGAAGCACTACTCCTAATAACAAACAGTGTCCTTCAAACTACCTATGTCATGCCTAAATAATGGCTTCGCTTTGGGAAAAATACAGGAATAACGCATTATTTATGTTGAGAAAAAGTTTCAAGTTAGCAAATCTTTGTAGAGTGTAGGATAATGACATTATACCAAATTTCTGGAATACCATATTTGGGACAAACCCGCGGGCA